AACATGCAAACTCCACCCAGAAAGGCCCCTGGACCGGGGTTTGAACCAAGGACCTGCTCACTGAGAGGCAGCAGCTCTACCAGTTGCGCCACCGTGCTGCCCTCAGCCTAATACTTGATTTGTTTATTATTTAAAAACTCTCTGGACCTAGTAGTGGAATTTTCTTAATTGAGATTATTTTGTGGTATAGCAGTTTTCAAAATAAATTATGGCAAAAGGACACCATATGCTTTTTTTTTTCATTCCTATTGCAAGTTTTATACAAAAAACATATTGTGATATATATTGTTATCGCCACCCTTCACAATGCATATCGTGATATGAATTTTATGCCATCACACGTTCCTACTAGTAGTCTATTTATAACTTAACTGATTATTATTTAATTTAAAATTCCAGCAATCTACCACTTTTAAGCATTCGGTTCTTTTCATGTAAACTCTTCTGTTGAAGTGTCAGGGCATAAGTTTGCGCTATACTCTGAGTTGGGTTTTTATCTCACCTTATTTGCTTTGCATCCTTCAAAATGCCAGAATCCCACCTTTTGTTTTGGACCACTGGAAGATGAGCTCTTCTAACTGCTGCCTGAACGTCATGAATTTGAGCACATCTTTCCAATGAAAGAATGGGATAGGACTTTTGTAAATTAAGATATGTATACTGTAATTTAGTATAAAAAGATGAATACAACAAACTGATATAATGCTCGTCCATTCTATGAAGTACTCTTTTAACTGCTCATCTGAGGTAACCCCAACATATTTATCCATCTGTGATTACTATACTGTGAATATTACATTTAAAGAAGGGGGGAAAGGTGAGCCTGATACTAAAGCAGTGAAGGATTTTTTTTTCAGAAATCTGGCATGTCTGGCTGGTCTTTCTTCTTCCTGTGTCTGATGCGTCTCTGCTGGCTGCTTCACTCGGATGTTGTTTTTGCTGTGGTTTCTAGTCGCTAGCGAGCAAGCTCCCTGTGGATATGTGATGCCGTGCCCCTGGCTGCAGTTCACACACTCACCCTGTCTCCTTTTTTTAGGCAGGGGACGGGTGGGAGCGAGAATGTTTACCATGCTGTGGAACTGCCTGCTTCCCAGCTTGTCTGCCTCAGCCCCAGACTCAGACCAGAGACAGGGAGAAAAAGGCTTTGGGGGGAGGAGGGAGCACTGCATCTTTCTTCTTTCCCTGCCTCCATCTCTTTTTGCCAATTTTTCCCTTCCTCCACTCTTACTTTTATATTTCTTGTCTTCGCCTGCCCTCTAAAGGCCAAAGGGCTTTGCGCTTTATGTAAATGTGTGTGTGTGGCAGCCAGACTGCATCTGGCTGGTGCATCAGGCAGCGGCTTTCACTCAGCATGTGAACTCCCTCCCTCTGCTGTAGCTTCAGAGCCTAGGTCTCAGTGAGATATTTCCACATACACATACACACACACAGAATGCTGTAATTACCCTATGCTCTCATGTAATCCCTCAGGTGTTGTTTTTATCTCCACTGCCACATATCTGACACTCAGAGCCAATACCTGGATTCACTTCATCACAGTCCCTGCAACAAAAAATGTTCCCAAAGCTATAGTCTCCGAACACCATGTGCAGGAACATTATATATGTATTACATTATACAGAGTATAGTTTTTATGTACAAATATGCAGTTTAGCAATTGAGTTGACCACCGACCTATATAATAGTGATTATGTTGAAGGATTAAAACCTGCTGCATATCCTTTGATGCATCTGTGCAACCGATTCTCTTGTTCTGTGAGATAAACACATGAGTAGCCTATATTAACCTGTATAAAGGTTGAATGAATGTAAACAAAGAAAGAAAAAATAATAATTGCCAAAAACAAAATTGAATTCTAGATAGCAGGTATTAATGCAGGTTAAGTATCTATTTTTTTTAATGCAGACAGGAACGCAGCAACAGTTCACTTTTATACAGACACATCTAGTCAGTCTTTCAGGCTCTCAGGCAAGCTCCAGGGCCGTGCT